CCATTTCCGCATTCCCCCATTCCCCCATTCCCGCATTCCCCCATTCCCCCATTCCCTATTTTAAAGATAGCCGTTTAGGAACATATTTTAGGTAACTTTCAACCCTCGAAATTCGCCTCGGCACTCGGCAATTGCCGACGCAAATGCCGAGGCAAGTTACGATTTTTCATAGTTTGCCGGCTCGGCAAAAAAATGCCGAGGCAATTCCACCTGTTGTACCTTAAATTACAAACTACAGCGTCTGTTCGTTTTTTTTGCTTAAACAGTTTACAAACTACAGTGTTCGTTTTTTGTATCACTTCTTTGTTCGAATTGTTGTCATCGACGTTGGGTGAACAACAGAAAATTTCATTGATAGCTACTTTACAAAATATTTAAATTTGAGCTTTTCAGCATCGGCTTCGGCTGAAATAAAGAAAAATCTTGATGGTTTAAAGACGGAACGTCGAAAAACTTTGTTTTATCAGTTTAGACTGTCCTGTGATTACCGTCAAGTTTATTTTTTCAAACAAATTGTTGTTAATTACCACTAACTTTTTAAAAACATTTTGAATCAGGAAATTGTAAAATAACAACAAATTGTCGACCGTCAGAATCTACGCTCGTTATAATATTTGTTTACAATAATTTCCGTATGTACTTTACTTTAATTACAACTGCCGACGTGAATGCCGAAGGGTGCCGAAGTAATTGCCGAAGGAATTTAAGGTGATTTCATTGCGTGCCCCGGCAAAAAATATTGCCGAGGCATTGCCGAGGCAAACTCGAAAATTATCGAAAGACTTCGGCAATTATTTGCCGAGGCAAAAATAGTTGAATTTCGAGGGTTGACTTTAAACAATGAATCTATCGTATCCAAACCTTTGCATATCCAGTCAATAGCTTCATGACCTCCAGTATTCTTCAGTGTAAACAGTGCTCTAAACTTATCAGCTAAAGTGCTAAAACAAAACATATCAATAGATAATAATTATTAGATAAATTAATATAATTATGTATAATTACATACATAATTATATATTAATATTTATAAATATAGTCATCCACTATATATGAGCTATTCTGCAATCTGATTGGTTGCATGAGCTACACGCTGTACAAACGCCAAATATTTTCAGTATTATTATTATTATTATTATTATTATTATTATTACTATTATTATTACTGCCGAGATAAGGAATGGGAAAATCCGGATTCACTAACAATTTGACTTATCTCATTGTATATATATATTGCATGCACTTTGTTCTGTTATTTTAGTTTGGTTTAATTGTGATTCATCATTCAAATAGCCATGCAACCGTAAGTTACCTTTATCGCTTCCGCGGTAGCAAGCAATGCATAACCTAAACTTTAGCGGCAATTTATCAGCCTGATGAGCTCTGTTTTCTGTGCGAAGGACTGCATGCAAAAGATCAATAACAGTACACCGTTCTGGATAAAATAATGGCAATGTGCAGGAGCACAATGCCGATTTAATGATTAACACAAAAATATCAAATTACAAATAAATGTTACAAATTTAGTATTCATGCATAGCACAGAAAAGGTGGGGTGTTAAAAAACGCCCCATATACAAAAACCGCCAGTAACGTGTATCGTAGGATGCAAAATGAGGCAAGGGAGGACGGGAGGGAAAGGAAAACTTGTGAGGACTTGAAAACTTGCCTTGTGAAGCCAAAGGTGAATGACCTTGAGCTGTTAACCCTCAACGTTTTTATATAGTAGGCCCAAGATGCACGTGAAGCGTGACATGGAAATTCACTGATGTGTTGCAAAATTCCACGGGAAATAAAACTGGTTGAACGAGTTTCCCTGCCAGGTTCCCTCCATAACCCCATTCCGCGTGCTACCCCGAATCCCTAAATATCCCAACAAAATTCCCACGGAAGCAATAAATTGATTATTCGCTGAAGCAAATAACTCCTTTATGAGAGAGATTTACGATTGTATATGTATGTAAAGAAAAACATTTAATAAAGTTTCCATAGACATTATAAATTTCCAAACTAGCAGTAACAACTGAATTACTTTGGAATTACAAGGTATATTAAAGAACATATATATTCAAACTATTCTATATTTACAAGTAAAAATAGGTAAATTAGATAAAAATTACGATAATAAACTAAAGTTTACTTATTATTATAAACACGAGACGCAGCAGGAATGAATTTACTGTTCGAAAAACGTTCAATTCTAAACCTAGGTATTAATACGTCAATATCGATAACTATGTGTCGTTTGTGAGTCATGGTCGTACTAGACTGAGCCATATGTCAAGATATATCCTTCAAAGTAAACTCTGTAAAACTAATAGTCTTCATACTACAATCGTGTTGTAAAGATTTGGAACACAGTGTGCCAAGAAGTCTCACCTGACATTTTCCGTAATCCAAACTCGTTTAAACACTATCTTAAACGTAGATACTAAACATTAATTAGTAATGTTTATGACGTAGACATGCATGGCTTGTACGTGGTCATTAACTCGTGACTGTCCTTGCCATAGGACTTAATACCACAAGTAATATATATGTGCAGTGTGTATATCCAATTAACTATATCTAAACTAATTACGGGGAGCACCTCGCATGGGACTTTTAGTGTCCCGTTTGTGCTTTTCCGTTTGAGTGTATCTACTAATTTGTGATTTGTGACGTGTGTTTTGTCTTTCGTTTGTCAAGTTTTTATCTTTGTACCTGATATAGTACGTATGTAGATTGCTCAATAAATTCATTAAATAAATAAATAAATAATAGGTTAGAATAAGACCTCAGGGGCCGGTTGTTCCAAAGCTGGTTAACTTTAACCCAGGGTTAGCGCTAACCCTGGGTTAAAATCCTTAACCCAGGATTAGTTGGTTAGTTAACCCTGGGTTAAAACTGCGTTGTTCAAAGCTGGGTTAGAGGTGCCGTTAGTTAACCCAGGGTTAAGACATTTAACCCAAGGTTAAATATATAGGTTAAAAATAATCTTATACGTGTTCATTGGCGAAGTAATTTTTAAAATAAACTTTGTCTAAACCGAGAAAATCAAAGCTAAAGTTTATGTAAATTAACATGATTTTTTAACACATATAAAACCACGACACGCTTATGATTTTTCTTTATGTTTTCCTCCTGAATTATTAACGAGTTTTTTAAGCATTTTGAAAGTTTCAAGAAAAAAATATACTTGATCAAAGCGGCAAAGCCATTTAAATAAATCAATTTTGGACTTTTAGGCAGTGTTTGAATGATTAAATTTGAGAACAAAATACCAGCCAATCAAATGAACTTCGAATTATTTTGGAGTTGTAAAGCATTTTTCAACGTATGCGTGTTTATCCTATAAAACAGAACACGAACACAGAAAAAGAATTAGCAAAGTTGTTTTACAGCTTTCAAAAACAGTCGTTGTTTTTACTAGGTCAATACACTGCACGGCAAACAGTAGATGTGCACGAACTTGTGACTGTTCAACAAATTGAAATGGCAAATGCATGGAAACTTTGTGGTGGTACAGTGAATTATTTGGCAATACAAGTATTTTTTCTAGAGTTATTTTTCGAAGAAACTTGAGTTGAATGCTCGGCTTTAATAAAACTACAGTCTACAGTTTTGGTGGCAGCAATCGACAAAGATCTCGTGAGGTAAATCCTTTTACTGTACAGTGTACACAATCTTGATTACGGCATTTGTGTACCAAACTATATTTTGAAAACCGACAGACGGCAGACGTACTAGCTGCATGTTTCTTTTGGTGTTTTGTAAATTAAGGTACTTTTCCACAGTAGCACAATAAAACAGTAAATTGTGATGTCCATGCTTAGACCATAGCACCCCAAAATGGACAGAAAGTTGCCGTAACTTTCACTGTAATGCTCGTATATAAATTCAAAGCCAACTTGTAGGTACAGTATAAAATCATTCCAAAGGCTCATACGGGACGAATATGAATCTTATTGAATATTGGTATTTTATATAGACTTAGAATTTACTTTTTGAGGTTGATTTTCCTCCATTGAAAATCTTTGTACACTGTTTGTTTCACCAAGAGTTTTACATGTTTTCTGTTATCACTCCTTCGACGTCCATTTTGAATACGAGTTAACCGGCCGAGTAGCAAGTTAACCCACCTAGCGAGGAGGGTTAAATTAAACCCTTGTTTTAACCGAGGGTTAAGGATAACCTAGCTTTGAACAACGCAAAGTAACCTAGGGTTAAAATTTAACCCTAGGTTAAGCAAATTTAACCCTAGGTTAGCGTTAACCGGTTTTTGAACAACCGGCTCCAGATCATAAGTTTGAAGATTTTTTGGCGGCACTAAGGCATTCAGTTTGTGAGTGGGTTCCAACATCTTCGAAAAAAGGCGCTTGCAAAGAACTGTTCTACGTTCATAAAGAGTCATTAAGCATATCCTGACAAGCATATTCCACAATTGGTCGAATATGTGTTCAATAGGTTGAGATCAGGATATGAGAATGTAAAGCATTTCTTTTACGAAGACAGACCATACAAACGCTTCGCGGCTTTCTTGCAAATGTAGTCAATATGGCGGTTCCATTTAAGATCGTCTGAAAGGACAACACCCAATAATTTTGCCTCGGAAACGACGTCGACCTCTTGACCACGGATGGTAATAGGGGCAAACGATTGAATAAGCTTAGAAAAGCAGACACGCAATTCTTTGGTCTTTGATACATTTAACTTCATATTATTGACAGATGACCATTCAGAGCAGCTGATGATGTTAGCGGGTAACTGGGAAGGGGAATTGTTTGATATTATTTCCCGAAGGCTAGTATCATCAGCAAATTTAACAGTTTCATCCGCCACAGCCAAGTCATTGATCATAATCAAAAATAATAGCGGGCCAAGCTTTGTTCCTTGTGGAACGCCGGCGTTTAAAAACTTCCACTCAGAAAAGAACTGACCAACACGGGTTCTTTGTTGTCTGTCTGTTAGAAAGTTTGCGATCCAGCTGAGTAACACGGGATGAATTTCCATGTCTTTCAATTTTTTCAAAAGAATGTTATGATCTAATCGATCAAACGCCTTGGAAAAATCAAGTAAACAAATCCGTATAGTGTTACCTTGTTTGTCAGCTGCTTCATATCATTTATGTAGCATGTAGATTAATGCCATACTAGTGCTTGAACCCTTCAGCGAACCAAATTGCAAGGGATCAATTTTTTTCCGGGATCCCAAGGATACAGTACAAAGCATATTGAGATGACAAATGTGAAATGATAAGCAAGCAAATTGGCCAACAACAGAATTCGGCATGACAGATAATGCATGCGCTGCAATAATGCATAACAAACCAGCAATGCAGGTGATAGATTCTTGGTGTATATAATAAAACTCTAGAGCGTTATGTTCGTTAATGTTTGTTGATCTTCAGTTCGGAAGACATAAAAGAATAGTGGAATCAGGCGGAATAGTAACTTTCATAATCTATATGCTATTTCGCGGTTGTATAGTAGAAACAAAACAAATGCATGTAAACACTATACGCATTTAACAACGTCACTGGAGCGAAACACTGCGCTGGCCGCTGGAGCGAAATAATTTGAAAACGTCACTTTTGCCGTAACAATTTGAGCACGGTTCTAAAGGCGCGAGATGAAAATGGAGCACTTGGCGGCTTCATGTGAACAGCGGCTCCGTCCTTATTTTTTTCCACTTTAGTATCCAGGACTGAGGGGAAATACCACCTTTTGGCGCGTATATATAGATGTTAAATTGTCTAACTTGCTTTCAATGTCTTCTCGCCGTTGATAAATAGATAACTTTATTTAACAAGTTTTGGCAGGTGTTAGTTGAGTAAAAGGACGACCGTAAGAAAAGGCATTGCATTTGTTCTGGCAGGAATAGTATTTGCTGGAAAGGTATTTAATAATATATTATCTCAGGAATGTCAATTAAAGATGAATGAAATTTTCAATAATTTTATCTTAAGTTAAAATTTTTAGATGTATCAAGGGGAAGCATCATCGCTGTCCTTATCCGAAGACTGCTGATTATCGTGCTAGTGAACCATTCGAACTTGTCCATAGCGACGTCTGTGGTCCAATGTCCGTACATTCTCTTGGTGGACAGTGGCGTAGCCAGAACGATAATTGGGAGGGGGCATATTCATATATTCGTGTTCTGCTTTAATAATTTCTTTTGAAATCAATTTTTTTTATGGTATGTGAACACGAATATATGAATATGCCCCCCCCCAATTATCGTTCTGGCTACGCCACTGTTGGTGGATCAAGATATTATGTAACCTTCATTGAGGACTACTCGCGCTACACGTTTGTATATTTCATGAAGAACAAGAGCGAAGTCTTGGAAAAGTTCAAAGAGTTCCACACTTATGCTATGAATATCACTGGAAAGCCAATCAAGGTTGTACAGTACGTTCTGATAACGGAGGAGAGTATTCATCGAAAGAATTCGAATCTTTCCTGAAGAACAATGGTATCGTTCATCAATTAAGCGTAACATACAACCCAGCGCAGAATGGTGTAGCGGAAAAAATGAACCCAACGATCGTGGAAACAACATGATCCATGTTGTCCCATGCACATATACCAAACGAATTCTGGGCTGAAGCAGTCAATACCTCGGTTTACGTGCGAAATCGCAGCCCAACGAAAGCTTTAAATGGTATCACTCCGTATGAATGCTTGTTTGAAAAGAAACCTGATGTGTCAAATTTACGCGTATTCGGATGTGTTACATACGTGCATATCCCCGACAATCAAAGAAAGAAACTGGACGCAAAATCTAGAAAGTCGATTTTCATGGGGTATCCAGAAGGAGTGAAAGGATATAAGTTATATGATCCTGTTTCTCGTAAATTCCTTGGCAGTCGTGATGTCATATTTCTGGAGAAGAAATTTCATGACTTTGATGTTCAAACTTCATCAAATTTTGATGATCGCACAGATGATGATATTCTGATAATGATTGAAGAAACTCCTGTTGACGCAAATCAAAATCAAGATGAAATTGCTAATCATCGAGTTGCAGAGAATGCTGAAGGAAACCAGCAAGCCAATGACCAGCGAGTGGGAGCAACCTTTGAAGAGACGTTTATGAATAAAGTTCGTAACGTTGGTGAACGCAGAATGAGAAGACCACCCAAGAGATTTGATGAGGAATGCTACTTAGCAAACGATAGCAGATATTAACGTTATGAAAAGAAGCTACTGACTCAGAATTTAATTCACTTATTGAAAACGAAACCAGGAACTTGTTTCATTACCCGAAGGCAAGAACGTTGTCGGGAGCAAATGGGTTTTTAAGGTGAAGAGAGATGAAAACGGCTGTGTACAAAGATATAAAGCTCGACTAGTGGCCCAATTAGCCTACACCCCAGCAGAAGGAGTCGACTACTCTGAAGTATTTTCGTCCGTGGTACCGAATACGATTCGATCATTACTCGCCCGGTCAAATGCTAAGAACTGGGAAGTCCACCAAATGGACGTCAACAGCCTTTTTTACAAGAAAACTTAGAATAATAATAATAATAATAATGATTTATTGGTAATATATCCACAGAGTGGCTCTTCGCTTACCAAATTATATAAATTATAAAGTATTCATAAAGTCTATAAACTATTTAACGAACATTACTGCAATATATAACTTTGAATATATAACGTGTTCGACAGGACAAAATATTACTTACAAAATTACGAAATTAACTAAGTTAGAACAAAACTGTACGAAACCATATACATTTAAATATTTCTTTCTAAGATTATCCAAGTCTTGACCATGCTTTCAAGACTAAGAAATTTTTGGTCTCATTGTAGAATACTCTGTAGTCTCTGCAGTTCTTAATTTCTTCTGGTAATTGGTTAAAAAGATGTGCTGATTGGTCCTGTAATGTGTTCTTAATTAAAGGGACTTGAAGCTGAGAGCCTTTGCTTGATCTCAGAACTCGAGAATGTTGAACCAATTGTAGCTTTTGGTAACTTGGCCAATTTTCATCGTAAAGCGCTTTGTAACTTAATTTTAGAACGTTCCATTCACGTTGTTCCTTGATAGGCAACCAGTTTAACGATAATACGTCCGCTGATCTAGCGAATTTACCTAGCACGAAACTAGCTGCGGCTTTCTGTACCCTTTGTAGGCGTTTCTGTAAGTACTCTGGCAGTGAATGGTAAATTACGTCGTTATAGTATAGTTTTGATAAGACAAGAGCCTGTACTAAGTTCTTACGGATTTTGAATGGTAAAGTGTTTTTTAGTTTTCTGAGAGTGGCAAGGGTGGAGTAACAGGATGAGGCGATGTTTTTAACATTCTCTTCCCATTTAAGGTGTTCGTGAATGTAAGACCCTAGTAACTTTGTAGATTTAACTCGCTCTACGTGCGTGCCATTGATTTCGATATTGATGGAGGCATCATTCAGAGAATGGAAGCCAGTTGTGCGGTGGACAGCATCATGACTGTGGTCTTTGATGGATTGATGACCAGGTTGGCTTCACTCGACCATTCTTCCAGCTTGCGAACACTTGACTGTATATCAGCTACCGCATCTTGGAGACTCTCGGGTTTGCAATGAGTGTAAAGGGTTGTGTCGTCGGCGTATTGATGACATTTGTCTTTGATGTACGATTGAAGGTCAGCAACATATAGATTAAAGATTAATGGCCCTAATATAGACCCCTGAGGAACGCCGAAGTTGACTGGACACAAGCCGGATGTTTTGTCGTCAATTTGGACGAAATGCCGTCTTCCAGTTAGGTAGTTCACCGTCCATTTAAGATATTCGTTTGAAAAACCTAACTGATTGAGTTTCGTTAACACAGTTTTATATTTAATGGTGTCAAAGGCTTTCGAAAAGTCAGCTAGGACCATGAAGAGAACTTCGATTATCAACTTGATCAGCTAAGGAAATCATATAGCTTGCCCGGGAAAAAAGATGCAAAGTGTTGTCGGACTAGTTCAGACGAAAACGCTAGACTAAGACAAGAAAATGCTCAGCTTAAGGAGGAAAATAACACCCTGAAGGAGAAATTTAACAATTACTCCCTCGATTACTCCTGTACTATATCGGACTTAAAAACCAAAATAGAAAATATTGAAAACGAAAAACTGAGTTTGATCACGGCTATAAAGCTGCTACAAGATGACAATAATTCTAGATCAGCGAATAATAAACAGTCAACATGTAGTACTTGGCAGGTTCACTCTAAACCAAGTTCACGCAAAATTCCTGCTACTCACGTACAAAACAAACCGTTTACCCCCACTGTGATAAATAATCAACCACGGGAAGTAACAACGTCAGAAAATAGATTCGAACTATTATCGCATACTATAGATAACGACGAAAAATTCAACACCGTTGAAAGTTCAAATGAGTCTAACACTCCGTCGGTAATAAAGCAAAATTGCCCAAGGGAGGATCTTAGTAAACGTAGCAATCAACAAAGGGGTAATCAATCAACCAAACCCAAAAAGGATAAAGCAAAGTTTAAGGATAGAAATCGCCCAGATAATAACACAGGTGAAAAGTCTGGTAAACTCGCATTTATTGCAGGGGACTCTATTCTGCAACATGTGCATGGCTGGGAATTGTCCAGCGACAAACAACGTGTGTCAGTAAAAGCCTTCTCAGGAAGTAGAGTAGAAGACATGCAGGACTATATAAAACCCCTGATACGCAAAAAGCCTGACACAATAATATTGCACGTTGGTACTAATGACATTAAAGACGACACCAAGTCAGCAGAGGTAGTTGCAGCGGGAATATTAAATTTAGGTAATCAAATTAAGGATAATTTACCACGCACTACAGTATGCATATCAAGCATAACTGTCAGGAAAGACAAAGCCACCATTCAAAACAAGATAAAAGCTGTAAATGATATTCTTGGGCGTGTTTGCGGCTTAAATAATTGGACTTATATAGACAATAGTAATATAGACTATACTTGCTTGAATAGACGTGGGCTACACCTAAACAAAAAGGGTAGCAGTATTATTAGTAAAAATTATAATAACTATTTCAATCATATTAATTGAAACACAGCCCGGCCAGGTGTTGATAAATGTGCATCATCAAACCCAAACGTTCCAAACTTTAAAGGTTTCAAAATGAGTATGCTAAATATAGCCAGTTTACCTAAGCATATTAATGAAATAAGAATATTACTGGCCGATCAATGTCTCGATATACTTGCTTTGAATGAGACAAGATTGGATGAAAATATTAGTAACCAGGATATGCATATAGATAACTATGATTTAATTAGGTTTGATCGTTCTAGAAAAGGGGGAGGCGTCTGTATATATGCCAAAAATTCTCTTAACTTTTCCGAACGAAAAGACTTGACTAGAGATAATCTTGAGGCTGTTTTTATCGAAATTCATAAACCTTCTAGTGCATCCTTTATTGTTGGAACTATATACAGACCTCCAAGTGCTTCGGTTGACTCATTTGTCGCAATTGAAAAATTAGTGCAATTAATAGATGACGAGAATAAGGAATTCTATTTACTTGGCGATTTAAATGCCAACATGCTTGACATTTCGAATAATGCCACAAAAGAACTAGTTTCAATAATGGAACAATATCAATTAACTCAAACAATTAGTGCACCCACTCGTGAGACCACGACTTCATCCTCTTTGTTAGATGTTTGTCTCACTTCTACTCCAGAAAAGTTAATTACATCTAGGGTAGTGCCGATTACAATTAGTGACCATTATATGATCGTCATTGTTCGTAAAATAAATACTTACTGTAAACAAAAACGCCACAAGAAAGTTGAATTTCGAAATCTAAAATTTTAAATTTTAATGTCGATAATTTCCAAGCCGACCTGTATAGTCAGGATTGGGAATTATTAGATAACCAAGCATGCGTTGATAAGATGTGGGATATATGGAAAACACTCTTTATGACAGTGCTCGACAAACATGCTCCAAATAAAGAGAAAAGAGTGAAAGATAAACCCAGTGTCCCTTGGCTAACCACTACAATTAAAAACAAATTAGAGAACGAGATCGTCTAAAACTTCTTGCAATAAAATACAAATCGGAAAATTACTGGGA